AAAAAATGCATTTGTAATATAAAGTATTGCTGCAAGTTCCTTATTTGGATTAATAATTAAAATTACATATCAATATAATTTATGATAACGATAAAAAATAAATTAGGCAGATCTACGTAGATCTGCATACGTACAAAAAAAAAAAATTATATCAATTTCTACTATTGAACTATACATACATTTGATCTACATACATGATTGGCATCCCTACTGTACTGTCTATTCACAACCCAGGTTTGAGCACGTGTATTGTGCAGCTCACATGCAACATGCAAGTTTCTTGGCTATATATATATGTATATATATATATTCTATATTCTTCTCTATAATAAAGCCAAATAAACCTTCTTCGTAACAACGATATCGAGTGGCAATATAAAGTTACGGGTGTTGATGCATTACAAGTTTTGATAACTTACGTACGTACGTACTAACATAATGATAATAAATTAAAATACAGATTTACAATAATAACCCAATTTTTTATTCCTTTTCCCGTGGGTACTAGAAAAAAAATACTAGCTAGTTTGTATATATGATATCGACATGCACCTTAGATCTCATCTCTGGCGATAGCGCTATGTACCGTTGGCGTGATTAATGTAAATTTTTACGTACTAAATCCTAAAATGTAAAATCAGATCTGAATCGAAAAGTATGTTGATGAAACATGGCATTTGAAAAGTAGATCTTAAATGAATTTAAATATCAATAAATGCCAAGTTTATTCGATGATATTTGTCTATTTTTCTTCTTGGATAGTTAATTACCTACTGTACTTGGTTTTCATAAGATTTTAAATTAGATCCGGCCGCTTTTTTAAATTTTATCGTTACTAGCATACTGGCTCGTCTATATACCCGCAAAAGAAATAATTTTTTAGTAATTATTAAAAATAGATCTGCCCAAACCAAAGTTTGACAAGTGGTGATTCTTCAGGTATGAATGCTGCAGTAAGGTCAATGGTAAGAGTTGCCTGCGAAGCATACGCGATCTTTGAGGGTTATGAAGCATTGATTTTTTTTTAAATCTCGAAAATGCCGAAATATATGAACGTTTATAAATAATAAAGGGCTCTCGTCTTTTTGAAATTGCATAGGACTAGTACAAGGTGGTGACATGATAAAAAAATTTAATTGGGGTGATGTTAGAGGATATCTTTCTATAGTATGTTAATTCTATATTTTCCATTATTTAATTTTTTTGATTTAATCATTTATGTGTTTAAATCATTTTTTTATGTCATCATTATATCATAATATATCATAATTATACTTATTAGAACTGCTCGTTGTCAATCATTTCGTGAGCATAAAGGTAGACTACGAGCTGCATATAATTTAATTGAAAATGGAATTGATGCCTTGATTGCTCGTGGCGGTGATGGTACATTAACTGGTGCTGATACTTTAAGATCTGAATGGCCTGATTTAACAAAAGAACTGATCCAGACTGGTAATGTATGAAATATATTATTATTAAAATGTATTTACTTTTCATTCTGTTTATACTTATTATATAATTATTTATTATAATCTTAAACAGGTGAATTAACTAAAGAAGTCGCTCCACATGTGAATCTCACTATCGTTGGTATTGTTTGTTCAATTGACAATGATATTGCAAAAACTGATATTACGATTGGTGTCGTGACTTCACTACATCGTATTTTGAGGCTATTGATAACATTTCATCTACGGCATTTAGCCATTCTCGTGCTTTTGTCATTGAAGTAATGGGAAGACATTGTGGTTGGT